CCCCCCCCCCCATATTAGGTCTTTTAGTGGTTTTTTATAGTTTTATATGTGTTTTCCTTTAGCTTGAGTATTTTCTATATTTTTCGGTCGTTTTTCGGTATTTCTTCGTATGTGGTGTGTAGGTCGAGTCCTTAGCCGATTTTGATATGGAGGAGAAAATTGATTTGGCAAGAAATGGAATCGAATTTGGTTTCCAAACGAACGAACTCAAAACAAAAAGTGATGCAAGTCAGGCTCAAGCTCCCAAACCTCAGCGCGACACACGTAACGTGCGTACAAAGCTTCATATTCCAGCGCCGCGCCGTGATACTCCCTCCACGCCGCGACAGAAGATCCCTCCACGTCGTGCGGCAAGAGTCGCGTCGCGACCAGGCTTCTTCCCCCGCCGTGCAGAAGTGTTGCGCCGTGACCATCCAGTCCCGTCGCGCCCGAAGCTAGGCGTGACACCCTCCACGAGCACGTGCAGACAGACAACATCAACGTCCCTCGCACCGCGGCAACGCGTCGCGCCGCGTCCAGACCCTCTTCCACGCCGTGAGAATTCTTCAACGCCGTGATGCGTCAGTTTTTCTCTCCCGCGGCCGCGACTGCTTCTTCACCGCGGCCACGGCGAACAAAAAATTTCCAGCGCCCAGTTTCAGCTCTTAAAATGTCACGGCCTCGGAGCTCTTCTTCACCGCGGCCCGCAGCCGCATTTCCAGGATTTTAAGGAACAAATTTTAGAATCGTTTTATTATGTTCCAAGGAGGGTTTTGAGCACCCAATCGTTCTTCTCCCTATTTTTCATTCTCTTTTCATATTTTTCATCGTAGAACAAGGATTTGAACTCGGATGTTGCTATTTCTTTCGGATTAATCTTGTTTATCGGATTATCATTCAACTTCCATTAATCGTAAGTTTTCTATACATTTAACCCATGGATATGTTTGCTTTGATTATGGTTGTTTGTGTTGATGAATCGATAATGAATGGCTAAATCCATATGCTAGAGATAGGGGATTGATGTTTTGGAATCGATTGTGATCGTGGTGTTCGTTGATTGTTCCTCTTATGCGAGTTAATCTTTCTTAGGGTTTTTCTATCATCGTATTTGAATATTGAGGATTATTGAAGGGTGACACTTCAATTTCCAATTGTTTTCAATTGAGTTCGATTTATTATTGAATGATGTTGATTGTTCTAACTGATTAGTCGGTTAATCACCCTCTAGTCTATCTTTAATCGACTCTTAGAACTAAAAGGGGAGGAGTCGGTCGAAATAGGCTCGCATAAGCTAGCTTGTTCGTAACTGTATTGCCTAGGAGTTAAGTGACTTGTTAATTTGTCGTTCTAGTCTGTTCTCTTGTTACGAAGAGTTATTGAGGATGAGTACTTGAACGTGCAGGTTATTCAAATCACTTAACTGAGTAATCACTTGCCCGTTAATTATAATTCGAACCAAAAAGGATATTCCCGACTCCCTAGCTCCTTAAATCCTACTTGTTCTTCGACTTTGCTTGCTATTTAATTCGCTTAATCTAAATTTTTTGTAGTTGATAATCAAACCAATCATCTGAATTAGTATGTTTAGGAATTTTATTTCTTTTTGTGTGATTGAATAAACGTGCATAATATTTCGGCTAACCTTCCTCGTGAGACACGACCCGGTGTTCGAATGTTTCGATTCTACTCCGAAAAAATATTTACAAAAATTTACACGAGACTACATACAAAAAATAGTAGATGCTAAAATAGATTAAAAAAACATACACGGGGCTAGAGTCCACCCTAGCCAAGGGTGGCTCTGATCGTGAGCTAGGACATTCAAGCCAACCATACTCAAAAGTGACCCAATCAAAATATGTAGACCAAGTTTTTGAACCAATCGAGTCAACCAAGTTAGATGTTGACCCGACCATTCATTTTTTAAAAATTATAATTATATGTATATATTTATGCGTAAATATTGACACCGAGGTAGAATATTACTAATACCTTGAGATATAAAATTTATATGTAAACGATCTACTTTCTTAAATTTTTTATGTACAACGATACAGTAAAAGTATAATTTGTTTATTTTTTTCTCAGTTCAACAATTAATTCGATGACCATGTGATTCAAGTCTTAAAGGTCAGCCTGGGTCATTGACCAGACCGGTTTTTCAAATCCTGCTTTTAAAGCTGGATGATATCTAAACAAAATAATGTTAATAAAATATAGTTTTGGTCATATTTTAATTTAAGTTCATTGTGGGAATTTCATAAAGTATTAAGATTACAGATAAAAATAGGTTTATTTGGAGACAATTTTTTTAGAGCAATATTGATAAATACTTGGAATCTTTACATTTATCAAACAAACTCTTTTATGTATGTCATTTGCATTCAATGTTTGGGTGGCTGATTATTGAAGGAATCTTTTTTTTTTTAATTGAACTGAAGCCAAGTTGCCATTGTTGCTGGCCATTAGGTACCCACCAAATAACCAAATCCCATTTTTTTATCTATTCAATAAGGCTGCCATTTTTGTCTATTAAATCTCTCACCTACTACTCTATCCACTGCCTAAGGAATCACACACATTTAATTTCTCTCTCACCTTGAATGTTAGTTTATTGTGGACTATCTTTTTTACATTAAATTTCATTAAAAGCTTAAAATGTATCATATGATAATCTTGAATTTTTATTTATTTGATGTAGATATAATTATTTACATAAACAATACGAAGGTCGAATCTGTAATTATCAATTAAATGTATAATGTATCACACATAATAACAAATAAAAAGAAATACTGATTTTTAAAATGTATTCATAATTTAAGTTGAAAAAGTGTTACATTTTTAATGATCCTATAATATGAATGAATAACATTTCATATGCTGAATAAAATTTACAGAAAAAAACTAGGAAACATTTGATACTCTATTATGCACGACAACGTTAGCCACTACTACGACAAGACACAGACAACAAAATAAGCACATTGATTAATCTAATACATGTAAAAAAGATCTGCATAATAAAGTGAAGACCAAAAGGTTACAAAAAGTAATACCCAGAAGTCGACGAAAGATCATATAAAATCAAAACAATCAGGTTCACAAGTCAGCAACCATTATGGATTCCATTAACTTCTATTCAAAATCCTTTTGCAGGAACAAGATACAAAAACTATGAACACCGAAAAAAAAAAAAGAAAAAAAAAAACCCGGATTGCAGCAAATTAATCTATTTCAAGGGAAATAGCGAAGAAGTTACATAATTCCCTAGTTTATTGCAGAGAGAATCTTACTGTCAACACTTGTTTGAAGCCGTCCTGCAGTTCAAAAGCACCGTATCAAATGCGCAAAAACAATCAAAAACCAAAATGTGTCCGATTGATATTTAGATGAACGAGACGGGCAAATAACACGCACGTGAACAAGGAAGAGAGAGTTTAGTCTCTCCTTTAGACAATTACCACACTACATTAATTTTTGGCAAAATTGCATATTAATACACCACCTTTCATGTTTTTGCAATTTAATCACCACCTTTGAAATTTTGCAAATTAATACACCACCTGTATTTTTTTTGCAAATTGATACATGAATGACGGATCCGCTAAGCCACGTCAGATTTTTATTAACGGAACTGTCATTCATGTATCGATTTGCAAAAATGGTAAAGGTGGCGCATTAATTTGCAAAATTTCAAAGATAGTGATTAATTTGCAAAAACATGAAAGGTGGTTTATTTAGTATGCAATTTTGCCTTAATTATTCAGCACTCAGTCTGAGATTTTGATATCAAGAGAAGAGCATCACAGAGTGTACCTCATCAAGGTTATCTTGTTCAACTTGCCAGGATCATCGTGTGAATTTCCATTAGTTAATAATTTATTTCCAGATGCTAGAGAGTCAGCGATCTCCTTGAGGCCCTGAATAAAGCAATTAAAATGAGACGATTGAGCTATTTCAAGAATAATATTACACGGTTGAACAGAAAAATAAATTCATGATTTTGTTATAAGAGCCAGAAAGTCCTCCCTTAAACCCATGAAAAAGAAAAGAAAATAATACGGATCAAATTTGACCTAATAAATGGTGATATGTTCAAAATTCTTGCGTTGTATTACCAATCAATATTGTTAGTCACAAAAAACAACCCCTGAGCTTTAGCCTATTTACAAAAGAAAAACGCACATCTAGTAATTTTTCATTTTCAAATACCACAAATTCTCTCTAACAAGTGGGTGTCTTACAGAGTGCACTATCAGTAGGAGGACATTTGTAAGGTAAATACTAAACTAAAGAAGGCATTTGTTGCAGTTTTAAAACACGTGCTTTCCTTGATATTAGAATAAATCACGGTTAGTTTTTAATTATCTTAAATAATTATGTGCAAGCCAAAGATCACATACATCCAAACAATTACTATTTCATACAACATTCTCCATCTTTCACGAATTTGAGACAGTGGGAACAGAGATGGTTACCATTAGGGCTGGTGTTGAGTTTCCACCAACTTTAAATTGATCCTGCACATCGCATGGAGAACATGCATTAAACGATGGTAAATCAATTACCATTAACAACTAAGTAAGTCCACCATCGTCGAACATAAGAGTGACAACTCTGGTCAAAAAAGCAGAAAAGGAAAAACAAAAAAGAAGGTTGCACCTAGATTCTTAAATACAGAACAATTTCTGGACACTTGCAGCATATGTATCGTTTATAGGAAGGTTGAAACTTGAAAAAAGATGAGAGAAATATCAAACCTGAAGCATTTCAGGCATCTTGACCTTTCTTCCATTAACAATGTTACACAGGTACATTACCCCAGCATTCGCAAGCTCCTATAGCAATAAGTAGGGAAGAGTAGACACTATACATTAGAGTCATGAGTTGAGATTTTAAACTCCACGCAGCAAAACCTCTCTAAAGCTTGAAAAGTCGATAAATGAAGATAGAGATGTGTGAAGTGTAAATTGTTCAGTTAATATTTCTATTGCAAAATAGCTTTTTTCACCTGCTTGCTTTCTAGTGATAGTAGCTTCCCATCCTGCAGATGCAAATTCCAGATCAGATGGGAGAAAGGGAATTAATGTGGTGATAATACACAACATAGAACTGCAAATACAGTGACAGGTTGTGTATTAAAGAAGAAATTTCCATGCATACTTAAGCGTACATTGTCATTAGCACATCAACACTACAATGCACGCAAATGGCGTCACAGAAATAAGAAGGCAAATGAATTTGAGTAAGCAGCCTTTTGAGTTGCTTGGATCACAAAAGAAACTCGGTAAGTAACAGAATTAGCCAATAGAAATTTTCTGGGATCTCACATGGAAATTCCAGATCTGAGCTGAAGATCAAAGATACCATACAAGAATGCTACAGTCAAATAAAAAATCAAAACACTTCATTACAAATCCCGAATCTACTGACTTGAAGATTCTTCAACAGTCTCTCAGTGAGCCATAATGACAATACCAAGTAGAAGTCATCAAATATTTCTTGCATCTACCATCTTTACTTAATAATATAAGTCTGCAATGAATCAAATTCCGTAAAACCTCCCCTTTTTCGTTTACTACTCGTCAGTCCCAACCAGACGGATTTCAGTCAACTCATGACTTATCATCAACACCAATGCCTTAGAACATCTGATATACACACAAACAAACTTTATCACTCATGATGGTACACTGAACTGTTCATCTCTCATTATATAGGATGTACATCAGCAACTGCATTCTCGTTATGTGACTACATAGAGTCATCAGCCTATGCATGGTAGATGAATAATATATATAGCTAGACATCGACAATGTAGAGAGGCTGCAATTGAAGACATTCTTCTACTCATAATATTAAAATAACTATAGCAAGAACAGTAGGAAGTCTTAAAATTGTGAGGCCCCCACGAGGCAACAAGTAAATTTTACATTATTGGTTGTTATATACACAGCAAAGATTATATATGAATAATTGTGAAAAACAATTCATATCTAGAGATCAGCTATCTTGAGGTGAATAATGGCACAGGCACATACATCCGGACTATGTCAAAAGCAAGTGAAGAACGCGTGAGCAAAATGTCACATCTGAAACATCTTAGAACCAGTTTTACTAAACTCACCCATTAATAAGAGCTAATAACAGCAATTATTAAACACTGAAATAATTAAATATATAATGAATCACATAGCAGCTTGTTGGATGATATCAGTAAGTGAGACTAAGTTCTTAGATATGAAATGCGTCGTGAAATCACCCACCAAACCAGAAACCATCCTCTGCAACTCGTTCAAGTCGAAGTCAATTTGGGAGACATCACCACGTACATCATTGACCTGTTTCACATGTTCAAATTACTGGTATCGACTAATGACCATCTCAAGAACAGCAGCAGTAAAAGGCATTTTCTTTAGAATTTATTTCAGTTTAGACTTTAGATCAAATCACATGCTGAGTCGCCATGGAAATTTGTCACACTCTACATAAGAAAAACTGCATCAAGATGAATCTACCTCATTCCGAATTAACCTTGAGATTTCAACTTGTTCGTCGAGTTTACCATCCAAATTCTCTATTCTCTGTGTCAAATGCCGTTTTGTTGCCTGCACAACCATAAATAAACAAACCAACAGAAGAGGAAAACAGATGAGAACATTTAATATCAGCTACATAAAGAAACTCATTTATGCTACTATAGCAAGATAAATGAAGTTGTACTGAAGATGTAAATTTTCTAGGACATTGCAAATAAAGTCAAAATGACAAGTGTGGTGAACACAGAAAATATATACTCTGTAGGAAAAAAAATGACAATACACAGCTACTTTCACTCATCAATAGAAGATACAGATCAATAAAAAATCAGCACAAGCAATCCATTATATAAGCACCAGTCACCACAAGCCATTGTATGAATATACTAAATAGGATGTGCATGTTGCATTCACGTGTAGAAGACACCAAATCCCTTTACGCATATGGTCACTAACAGCCATGAGTAGAAAATATTGATTATGCTAAGACTACAATCACAAAACTGACATACTTACAGCAAGAGCCTCAGATACATGATCTAAATGCTTTGTCAGGTTTGCAACAGCATTTGCCATGTTTTGCTTTGTTACGTACATCAGGTCTGAAAATGAAAGACCCTGCAATGTAAAGATACACAATAAAAAGGATATCAAAACAAAGGATGAGCCAATGAAGTTCCTATGAAAATCCCAATTAAAAATCCCAGTATATGTTCCAAAGCAGCGAAATGTTTTCAGAAGGTATAGAATCCTACCTTCCACCACATATATCCATAGCCCAAAGCTCCCAAAGCAGCAGCAGGCATTATTAGAGATGCTAAGTTGCCTGTTACAAGAATCACTTATATAGTTACAAAACATTGATGTTTGCATGTCGACACTTAGCGGAAGATACTAACTTTGGCCTGAATCCCCATTTAGAACTGTAATCTGCCTGTTTGAGGCCAGTTTGCGGAACTCCATTTCTAAACGACGAAGCTGTAAGAAAACAAACCAAAATTCAAATCTTTATGGACCAGACGTTTTAAAACAATTTGGAAAAAGTAAAAATAGTGTGGTTTTAGGCTTATTCCAATAATTTCAAAATTTAATATTAACACAGAAACACAAATTTCAAAGACATCCTTATAGTAAGATAAAAATGGTGAGTCATTGTTTGGATTTCCATGAAAAAGTTATCACAAATCTTGGAGAGGTATTTTGTGAGGACCTAAACATTATGTGATTCATGCAACGGTGGGAGACATAATGCAAAGTCTAACTGTATTTTGGAAGAAGAGATTAAATTTAGCTGAACTCTTACTAATACAGTATAATGTTCTATGCCGACTAAATCTAATGTCACCTCGATGACAGTCATTCTCAAAGTCAAACTTCAGAGTTACTCATGACATAGTAAACAAATAAGTTACACAGTTCCCAGAGTGATAACAAATAAATTTGATCTTTCTTATTGGGTATAGTCTAGGTGAAATATAAACTAATAAATATAGAAAGGATTACCGCTACAATATCAAACCAATTTCATTACCAGTTGAGATTTTCATACCTGGCTAGCAACAGCATCAGAGTCTCCATCCAATTCCCCATTTTTGTCCGCGCCTTTAAGCAAATTCTGCAGAATATATGACTTATTTAACACACAGTTTCAGAGATTATAAAATTCACACAATGATACACATGCACACTTCATTAAATTCCATCTTAGCACAATGAACCTTCAGTTCGACAAATTCTCAATGCGTTTAAGCAAATTCTGCAAGATATATGACTTAACCAACACTCAAAAATTCAAATTCCAATTTTATAATTCACTCACTCACACACATCATGAGGTTTCATCTCAGCACAATGAACCTTCAGTTTGACAAACATAATTTGAAATGGAGTAGGCATCCACTGTCGGCTACAGATCAAGAACATACAATATATCTTCACTTCACTGTCCTTCAAAACAATGTGAGACCATATCACACAATCATCTCACCTGGGAACCACTTACTTTCCCCAAAACATCAAGTATACACTGAATTTTTCATCACTACTTTCATAACGAAGACAGCAAAAACGTTAACGACCATCAAATACACTTATAATCAAAACTAAACTCATCACAAAAGAGAAAGAATGAAGCTAAAGCAATCAATACACAGCTAATTCAACAGTAAGAGAAAGAAAAAACGTGAAAAAATCAGTACCTGCAGCTCACCCAACAAATCCGATAATTTACCGTTCTTAACCAGTATAGTTCCAGTATAACCTAATCCACATAAAAGGAAGACGAAAAACTTACTTCTGCTCAGATAAAAGAGTTAGTAATAATAACAAAAGGCAATCATACTTGCTCCCACTATGAAGATAATCCTCGACAATCCTAATTGCATAGCCATGGCGGATGAAAAACGAAGTTTGAAGCCTGAAGCCCTAATGATCAGATCTCTCTTTGTGGTACACCGTGACAGAGCTATTGTCAATCTATGGAAATTTACAAATTTTTGTTTTTGTTTTGGTTTT